TATTAGTATTCATATGGAGGAGTTTGTTCCCCTGAGATCATCTATGAGCTTTTTAGTCTCGATGGCTCATGGGAGGTGCGTTATAGATGGTGTTTAGAGACAAGTGTCTGATGGGTGCTGGGATAATGCCAGAGAGATGCCTATCTCCGCTTTTAATGGAGCGTCTATGGTTGTTTCAAGTGATCAGCCCTGTCACTTCAGACTGCACATTTTGATGCTTTCGACACCTCTCCTTACCGACATCAATCTAAGCGTCAAAAGGAAAAGCAAGAGACAACAAACGCGCACGGCGTGGGTCAGCCAGGGACATGAATACCAGCGCTGGAACAAACACCTCATCAAATGTCTGCCAATACAAGCGGCGTCTTGTGCGCAGGAGAAATGTGATGGGGAATTGCATTTATCAGAGCTGCTTTTCTGTCTCCTCTTGATTTAAAAAAGAAGGCAAAAATTGTGTTTGCTTGCATTATGCTGTTATTGTGTCAATTTTCCACAATAGAAACAAAGGACGCCAAATATGCGTGTCATATTTTATTTTAAATTGCCAGACGTTTCTTATATTCACAAAAGACCCTCTTTGCTTTAGCTGCTGTCGGCGGTGACAGCTTGAGTGAAAATTGAGGCCGTTGTTGCCTGGTATCCTATCAGAGAGGCTTTTTCGGAATTGAATCAGAAATGTGCCTCTCGGAGGTTCTCGTTGGCCTTAGATGGAGGCTGAAAAAGAGGAGGACATGAGGAAAAAAGGTGGCAGTGGTGTTTTGTGTGAGCTGGATCTCCTTGTAGAGGTGACACCATTTAGCATATTAAGAGCGTTTAAACAGGTGCGGGTAGACACGCTTCTCAGTAATCAGCTTTTCTGATGTAAGCTCCTGATACATGGATTTTACAGACTTTCCAATGTCAAGGTCCTCTTCCCCTTTATAGCAATGCTGGAATACTGTGCAGTTGTCAGACATATGTACAGGCTGCTCTGTGGGGCATTGCACTTGGTTTGTAAAGGTTAAGGGCTACATTTTTACGAATTTAAAGCTATGGTGTTTTCTTCTTTTACATTTCTAAAATATTATAGATAGATAGATAGATAGATAGATAGATAGATAGATAGATAGATAGATAGATAGATAGATAGATAGATAGATAGATAGATAGATAGATAGATAGATAGATAGATAGATAGATAGATAAAAAGATAGATAGATAGATAAAAAGATGGATAGATAGATAGATAGATAGATAGATAGACGGACGGACGGACGGACGGACAGACAGACAGACGGATGAAAGATAGATAGATAGATAGATAGATAGATAGATAGATAGATAGACCGATAGACCGATAGACCGATAGATAGATAGATAGATAGATAGATAGATAGATAGATAGATAGATAGATAGATAGATAGATAGATAGATAGATAGATAGATAGATAGACAGACAGACAGACCGACAGATAGATAGATAGATAGATAGATAGATAGATAGATAGATAGATAGATAGATAGATAGATAGATAGATAGATAGACGGACGGACGGACGGACGGACGGACGGACGGACGGACGGACGGACGGACGGACGGACGGACGGACGGACGGACGGACGGACGGACGGACGGAAGGATGGACAGACAGACAGACAGACGGATGATAGATAGATAGATAGATAGATAGATAGATAGATAGATAGATAGATAGATAGATAGATAGATAGATAGATAGATAGATAGATAGATAGATAGATAGATAGATAGATAGATAGATAGATAGATAGATAGACACACAGACAGACCGATAGATAGATAGATAGATAGATAGATAGATAGACAGACAGACAGACAGACAGACAGACAGACAGACAGACAGACAGACAGACAGACAGACAGACAGACAGACAGACAGACAGACAGATGGATTGACGGATAGATAGACGGATGGATAGGCAGATAGACAGACAGACAGACAGACATACATATGATAGATAGATTGATTGATAGATAGATGGATGGATGAATAGATGGATGGATAGACGGATAGATAGATGGATGGACAGACATAGGGATAGACAGATAGATAGATCGATCGATCCTATCCCAACCAGACAGACTCCTGTAGGACGTCTCAATCGTAATATACTGTACCAACCAGACAGTAAATCACTTTAAACTATTAAAATTGTTAATAAAAGTCACTTTTCAAGGATAAACAATGTTAGAAAAAAGCTTTAGGTCATATAATGTAATTTAAAAGCATAAATAAATGCGGAAAATTAAAAACATGAATCACCAACCACAGAAATATGCTTATAAAGATATATTAACAAAAACAAAAACAAATTTTATTAAAACATTATTCAAATTAAAATAAAAACAAAATGAATAAATAAAAACTGGTTCTAAATAGCATGTTCTCTTCGTATTGGCGTGGCTTTCAAAAGTCCAAAGACATGCGCTATACTGTAGGTGGACTGGGTGAGCTAAATTGCCCTAAGTGTATGTGTGTGAATGGGAGTGTATTGGTGTTTCCCAGAGATGGGTCGCAGCTGGAAGGGCATCTGCTGCGTAAAACATATGGTGGATAAATAGGCGGTCCATTCCGCTGTGGCGACCCCTGATTAATAGAGGAAATAAGCCAAATGATGATGAATGAATGAATGTATGGTTCTAAATACAGCCTATCTAATCTTGTTTGTAACATTCATGATTTTAGTTAGGAAAAAAGGCCTGTGCCTAACTCTTCCCCTAAACATAACCTCAAATAGTTGATAGTTGATTTAAATTTCAATCCAAAATGCAAACTGAAAGCGAAATCAATTCAAAATGCAATGAGATTGTGTTGTAATTGTATTACATGAAAGAGGTGTATAGCCTTCAAAAGCATATTAAACAAACAGTAATACAATGAACAAATGAATGAATTAACAAACGAATGAAATGAAAATTGTATTAGCACACTTACATCATTGTTACATCATTAAGTCAAGTTTAAAAGAGCACTTGTAGGACTGAGCATGAGGTGAGTAGCTGATTGACAGCTGCTGGCCAGTTTTTATTTCACCATCTTGACTGCACCAAATCAGCTCAACAGAGAACTAGCCGCTCATTATAAAAGCGCACAAACTTTGTCTCTCGCAGCTGTTTAATGGCTCTTCGCCTGTTTTTGTTTGTTTTTTTGTTTTTTTTGCCGTAAGGTTATTGCACCTTTATGGCTGATCGGGGGGTTGGAATAATCCTCGACATCTGTTCGGGGAGTGGGTGGGGGATGCCGACGTTTGCCTTTTATTTACTGGACCGGGCCTCTCGGCTCATCCCCCCAGCTCTGAGGTCGGCATGTTGACTTTTAATGGGAAAACGATAAAGAAGAAGAATCTCAAATGGGCCTCAAGGTCAATGAAGGAGTTTCGCCCCAAGCTATTGCTCTGGCTTGTAAAACAAACATTACTCATGAGCGCTGCTGTAAATTAGCACCATGCACCAAAGACTGGTTATTTTATTTTCTTAACTGCATGTAGTAACTACTTTTAATTGAGCGTTTAAGTAAGCTATCTTTCTTTTAATTAGCAAAAGTACAACTGTAGTCACTGCAACTCTTTGGCAACAAGAGTAGAGATATTGCGTCTAGTTTCTGCAAAATACCAAGGCAAGTGTGTATTTTTCATTATGGAGAGGTTCTCTTCATCTTGTCCATGGTCATATTCCACATCGTCCCGTCTTTCTCTCTTTCCCTCTGGCCCTGATGACAGAAGGGCAGAACGTTAATCAGAACAGCACTATCTTTTAGACAGCACCTGCAGGCCATTGCCAACTCCAGCGTTGCCTCTTTGGCTATTGCCAGTCTTGGCACCCTGGTACCTCAAGGGATGTCTCTACTGCCAACTTTGACAGGATTAAACAGTGGAGCTACTGCCTATAAATATATATTATTACCTCCTAAGGGTGTTCGAATACCATTGGTTGTCGGGAGTCGAGCAGAATTTGGGCTATTATTGATAGGTGTGCAGTGTTTAATTAGGTTAGTAAATAAAATCATGTCAACCTCAAATGCAGGGAGAATATTGAAATTGATTGGAGTGTGGTGGATTTACATTATGTAAACTGCTTGGCGTAGTGTTCTAGAAAGTATGCTTATTGATTGACATCTGCTTTTTATATCTGTGAACTGCTATTTTTGTGAGATTAGACCATTTGAAGCTGAAAGAATGACTGAGTGATGAGTTTATTGAATCTGCGTGTAGCGTTAGATTAAAAGAGTCAAAAACCCATATGGATTCGATAAACAATTCCTCAGCAGAGATGTCCCTGTCAGCAACACTGTGGCAAGTTTTTACAAATCTTTTCTTATATCCGTTTTTTTAGTTTGATCTTAATTTACCCAGAACAGCGCTTTAAGATCGGGAAATAATTGGACTGCTGTTTGATAACATCATTTGTGTCCCCCCGCATTTCCTGCTGTCTTCGTATGACAAATGCCCTCAGTGTGAAATGAATGGCTGGCTGTCACAGGTAATCATGAGGTTGCTTGTCAGTACCCGGTCTGCTTTCATTTCCCATGATTAGCTTTGTGAAGGAATGATGGGATACGTTTCACTCATCCACTTGTCTCTTTTGTTGGGTGACAGTGATGACTGGGTTAACATCAGTACCAGAAATCGCATCATCTGCTGTCATGCTTGTTGTTCATCCCGAGAAGTGATTTCTCTTTTGTTGCAGCAATCAAAGAGTCACTGTAAGGAGGATTCATGTCATTCACGTCTTCATAGCATAATGTCGTCAGACAATGAGGGAGCAGAATGAGCTGAACGCAATTTCAACAGAGCTGATTCCAATCTTGACATGGTTTTAGACTTTAGTTATTGTATCTGAGATGAAAATATTTGATAAAATCTCTCTATATAAGATTCTGTAAGCTCACTTTTCAATCAATAACGGTTTATTAATATACCATGTTAAAAAGTTGGTATTCCTAACAGTAACACCAACCTTTCTGTCCTCTCTGTTTGACAGGAAATTGCAGCATACTTGATAACCTTTGAAAAGCATGAAGAATGGTTGACAACCTCCCCTAAAACAAGGTAAGAGGATCTATCTCTCAACTAACCATTAGAAATCTATTTTACCCAGAATTCCAGGTTTTATTGCTTTGATGCTCAAATGAAGCCATTAGCTGGCGACACCCGTCAATGACCCACTTGAGAATCTCCGCTATCTTAAAAGTTGGGTGTTTGATATCGGTGGACATTGATGGCAGTTTCGAAAGGTTTACTTCTTTTAGGAGTTAGCCTGACAGGTAATGGATTATTAATGTGGACTAATAACTGCAAATAGCCTATTAGCAGAGCTCTTAGCTCAATGCTCTGCCCTATTTCTTCTGTGAGAGCGATGGTAATGTGTTCATATCTAACAGCAAATTAAACGTCCTCTAATAAATGAAGGTGTGAGCTGCAAACGGTCTTGCTGCTCTGTAGATGGTAGGTGTTGACTGACACTGAAGGGGGAAAAGTGAGCTTGTCATGTCTATGAGTGAGCGTTGCACCTGAATCAATCTGTCATCTCAGTTTATGGCTGCTAGCATGCTCTGGGGTCTAAAGCAGCTCTGGTGAATCTACATGTTCCCAGACCCCACAATAGGAGGATTTGTGTATTTTTAAAATGGAATATCTATACACTCGATTGGCTGTAAGCCAGGCCCGCACTGTTGGATTTTAAGTGTAATGGAGTGGCACTTATCCAGCATCAATGATGCTGCTGATGCGAAAGATTAAGAGTTGAGGTGGGGACAGAGGTTACCATGGCAACCACACCGGACATTTATACTCTTCCAATGAATATTGAGTAACACTATACTTGAAGGGGGTGTTATAAGACCATTGTAATTGTGTCCTGAATTTTTTTCTGATCACTTCTGAGTAATAGTGTAATAACATTATAACATTTAATGACTAATTAAATTTGCAACCCTGTAGTTGAGGTCAAGAAAAATATTAATGATGCTATTAAATAATTCACAAAACAATTATAATAGTCATGTTTATGACAGGTTTATGACGAGTTATATTGTGTTGCTAATGTCAAGTTTTCATGTCAAAGTCAATGTTAGGTTATTTTGTATTTGTCAAGTTGTCATAACAATGACATCTTAAACAATGTCATCTTTTAATTTAAAATGACATAACTGAGCTGATGATATTTTATGACAGTGGTAATAAGCATGGATAAAATATAATTTTGTGTCATGAAATGAGATTTTGCTAAAAATCAAAATCTAATTTTTTTTATACATTTTAACTCAATTACGATTTTTTATTTATTTATTCATTCATTTTCTTTTCAGCTTAGTCCCTTTATCAATCTGACGTCTCTACAGCGGAATGAACCGCCAACTTATCTTTATATTTGTATAGTAAATATGTTCCAAGCGAATATTACAAGCGAAAAATTTTTGAATGTAGGGTGGATTACCTAATTTTAAAATAATAGAAAGAAACACGCACTATCTACTATTTATAATTATTTATTGAACATCAACGCTGAACAACTTAAATTAAAACACATTGCCTAAAACATAGTTCTCCACGCTGCCCACCGTTATTGCCGCTACCAAATCGACCAACTACAAAGCTTGTGCGTTGTGACGCATAGTAAATATTATTTGAGAGATGTTTGGGTATGCAAAGGCTATGGCAGAAGCATAATAGCGTAATAATATAGTAAATATAAATCATAATATATTAAGTATGAATCAGCCTTGACAGAACGGGGTCACGTGACTCCAAATGCGGTAGGGAAAGTAATTGAAAAATATGAGAAATTTTTTTGGTTCTGAATGTCGATTTTGAATCATTTTCGATTAATCACCCTGCCCTAGTGCTAGTTCATGATTGTGAATGTTAATATATATATATATATATATATATACAGTTGAAGTCAGAATTATCAGCCCCCTTTAGATTTTTTTCTTTTTTAAATGTTTCCCAAATGATGTTTAACAGAGCAAAGAAATTTTGTAATATGTTTTTCAAGAAATATGTCTGATATATTTTTTTTAATCTTCTGGAGAAAGTATTATTTGTTTTATTTCAGCTAGAATAAAAGCATTTTTTATTGTTTTAAAAACCATTTTAAGGTCAAAATTATTAGCCCTTTTTTCCCAATTATCTACAGAGCAATCCATTCTTATACATTAACTTGCCTAATTACCCTAACCAGCCTAGTTACCTAATTAACCTAGTTAAGCCTTTAAATGTCACTTTAAGCTGTATAGAAGTGTCTAGAAAAATAAGTAGTAAAATATTATTTACTGTCATCATGGCAAAGATAAAATAAATCAGTTATTAGAAATGAGTTATTAAAACTATTATGTTTAGAAATGTGTTAAAAAAAAACTTCTCTCCGTTAAACAGAAATTGGGTAAAAAACAAACGGGGTGGGGGGGGGGGGGATGGGGGGGCGCAAATAATTCAGGGGGGCTAATAATTATGACTATATATATAACAAAGCTCACAACAGACATTTCTATCCAAATCGATTTACAAATAAGGACAATAGAAGTAATCAGAAAGAGCAACAAAAGAGTAATCAAAAAGCAACAGACGAAATACTTAATGTAAATACTAAGTGAATTTGTGTGTGTTGTTGGGTGCGTGTGTTTGTTTTCATTGATAAATATTTATAATATGGAGGATGACAAGCCGTTGATGAATGTTTCCTGCTTCTTGAGAATGATTGACAAGGCTCAAATGACAACGGCTGACAATGAATGCAATCAAAATCAACAAAAGGGCAATAATGCAGAAGTGCTAGGAAAAGTATATTGTACAATATAGAGATGTTTTTTCCCCACTGATTTGTATTTATTTATTTAATTCTGGCCCATTTCCACAGAGAAATCTCACTATTCAATATTCTTTTCACATAGCTATTACACATTAAATGATGTTGATGGTATAGCACATTTTAATTGAGAACTGAACAAATGCTATATTCCTTGAATCAGTACTCCATATGGAAGCAGTGTAAAAGCTGCCTCCGTCATCAAGAGCAAAACTCGCTCCACACAGACAGTAGATGCAACCAATCATGAAAAGAGATAAGAGAAGCAAGGTTACTTGAAGGTGGTGGAGATTTTGGGGTAAAACTACATTTAATTTATCCTCCAATGCACAATGTCAGGGCTCTTATGGTGTAATATTTTAAGAAGCTTATAGTGTGGGCAAATTGTGTATCAGTGTGCGTACGTGCCAGGGTTTAAGTCCGTGTTTTTCTCCAGTCTGTTTTCCTAGCCTCAGGTTAAGCCCTCCAGTCTCCTGTTCTAGCCAGTTTGTCGAAACAGAACAGTGCTTTCTCCGTCTCCCGCCTGCTTCCAGAAGGAAGTCCCACTTCTCTCCCAATTAGAGAGAACTCATCTTATACTATTAGACAGCTCAGAGTCCCTTCTCCTCAGTGCCAGACACTGGAAACTGCTCACTCTCATGTTTTCCTCCAGTCTGCACACAGGAAGTGCCGGGCGCCATCGGCACAGGGGAGAAAAAAAACAAAGCTGACGAGGGATCCCGGCATCTTTCGCGCTTCTTCATACTATATTAAACACAGTGTCATCTCTCTTACTCTCTCAATTTCCGTCCCACAACCAACTATAGTCAGTAAGATTAATTTAAAGTGGTTTATTCCAAATGATTTTATTTGATTGATCTTTTCATTTGTCTTTCAGTTTTAGTTTGAAATGTATCCACTTTAGGGAGCATTGTTATAAACTATCAGATGGCTGCTGAGTGATGTATGAACACTGCCTTGATTGTGGTATGCAAAATTGGTATTCTGTGGCAACTTTTAGACATGTAAATCATCTCCCGATTCTAAAAAAGCAAGGAAATATCTTATATAAACGGCCCTTAAGAATCGTGTCGATCAAAGAGCCCAACTGCAGCATAATTTTACATGGTGTCCTTAAGAAAAATGAGTCAGGCAACAAACTGCTCGATTTTGAAAAGATGTAGTTTTGCACGTCCCTATTAACAATCCTAATTCATGTGCAAATGGACTTTGAGTACTCCAACTTCCACCCAATTTTTCTCTCTGCCTGTAAGGGACATTGATAATGGCTGGACATAAAGCAAAAGCCAATTATAAGACATTTCCTTGTGTAATTGCTAGAGATGAGTTGAAGAGCACCCCGTCGGCTTTTTATCTCCAACACACAAAAAAAAAAATGAGCCCATGAATAAAGTGTACCTCTTCGCACTCGCTCATTACTGGCCCTGTGCTCAGTAATGTGAATTATCACTGGCTAAAAGGAGGTTGGGAGGAGTTCTTGTGAGCACTGTATTCAGTGGAATGTTGTAGCAGTGGTTATAGCACATGCTCAGGGCCTGTTAGATTCATAATGGTGAATGGACAGTCCTTAAAAGACCCTATGAAATCAATTGAGAGTTTTTGTGCTGTGTTTTCTATGCCTTGCAACTTTTAGGCCATCTAGTGCACATCTACTGTAGATGTTTTTTATTTTATTTTATTTTATTAATGCACTTTTTAAAAGAATGCGGAAAAGGATGAGTCATCTTAAATGCATACTGTAGGTGTTTTCATCTAATAATATTCTCTTTTCAATAAGATTAGTTTTCAAGCTTTAGTACTTTTGGGTATAAGACTTAATAATGAAACAGCTGTAATTTTAAAAATATATATTATATTTTTTTATATTGGTTTTAAGATTTAAAGCATACAGTACCAAGTATCAAAAGACAAAAATTAATTTGTTGTCTTTTTTTGGCATGTTTTCAATAGTGATTTCAATTTTCATGTGAATTTCAATAGTCATGTCAAAGCAGTAAGTAAATCAGCAAACTATCATCTCAAAAACACTGCAAGGATTAGATGCTTTGTTTCCAGAGAGGACTTAGAGAAACTTGTTCATGCTTTTATCAACAGCAGGGTGGATCACTGTAACAGCCTCCTCAAGGGCCTTCCCAAAAACACAGTCAGACAGTTACAGTTCATCCAGAACGCTGCTGTTAGGATTCTGACCAGAACCAGAAAATCAGAGCACATCACACCTGTCCTCAGGTCTTTACATTGG